GCAAACAATTGCAAAAGCTTTTAACAGCAATCCTCTGTTCAACAAACATAATGGAGCAAAAGTAGCAGCTCCAACAACTCGAAGTCCTCATCATATACTAGTATTTGGAAGCTGTACGTGCAAGGCATCACGTAAAGTGTATACATTTAGGTATGTACGTGTGTGTATGCCCATATGAGCATATTCTCTCATGATAGCCTGCTGTCAATCAATTTTTATTATGTTCACTAAGTGAAGCTTCGGTACTTTTGGGATGACTAAAAAATAATATGTATGAAATAAAATGATATGAAATGTGAATGTGGTAGTAAAATATTATAGCATATACACAGCAAAACATATGTATGTAAGTACATATATATGCGATTACATGGCAATAGCTGCTTGTTCTGCAGGGAACCGTCGTGGTCCAGTACTTTTATATATATATTTACATACATACATATGTATGTGTTCATATTCATTACATGACGAAACTGAGTCAACTTGTTCAACTAAGCCCCAATTCCTGTTCAAAAGTTTCTCTTAAAATGTTATCAATGGTTTTTCCAATTTGTATTTCTTAACTGTTACATTTTGCTATAACTAAAATCTTTAGCCAGCTGCCTAGCTCACAGCAATATCTGTACATACATATGTATACATACATAGGTATATGTATGTACGTAAAAAAAAATTGCTAAAAACCCTGCAGTGAAAATGTGTGGAAGCCAATCTCCGTTCAAAGGAGCCTACACTCTAAAAAATCTGTTCAAAATTGCGACTATAAATCGAGTATATTTTTGTTTATTTTTTTAATTTTTTGGTAAATTTTCACGATGAATATGTATTTTTCTCATTTACACATTTTCGTGTGTAAAAATCCTTTTTGTTAGCGGCTTTACACAATTCTAAAAGTGAAATCAAATAGCAGATGTGTATTTTGTAGCTTGTACACACTTTCATAGTAAATTTACGCACACCACAGCAGCTATATTACACTCTAAAAAGTCCGAAATTTAAACAAACTATTCGTTGAATAATCGAGTATGTAATTTCGCGAATAATAAGGTAGGAAATCAGTAACCTACCTTTTAGCTAGAAAATCTACACAATTTTTTTTTAGAGTGTAGTGTTCCTATGCAACTATATTTTCAGTGGTATTTACTTAATTGCAAAGCATGGGCCGCGTGAATGAAAAAATAAGCAATTGCTTTTTCTTAAAATTTCGGACCTTTTACTTAAATTTTTTTTGAATAAATCGAGTAAAAGTTCTGAAATTTTAAGAAAAGCCAATATACAGTGAAACCTCCCTTGGGCGGACACTCACCGTCAGTCATTTTTTGTCCGCCCAAGAGAGGTGTCCGCTTAATGGAGGGGAAGCCTGTTTTAGAACTTTTTAATGTTTTAATTAATTGAATAGTCACTATTTCTTATTGGAATAAAAGATATTGATATTACATCGTTCAAAGAAAAATGTGCATGTATTTTTTCAAAAATGCACACTTCATTTATGTGCGTAAGTACATATTAAGTAATAACAAAATAAAAATAAATACATATTATATATTTTTATTCTTTTTTTAACATTTTTAAACTTTTTAATGGAGACTTCATTCTATGACCGATTTAAATCTTTAATGATCTAAAAAATTTAATCCGTAAATAGCGGTTATTGTATGCTGGAAAAAATAAAAATCAAAAGTTACTCTGTAAAAAAAAAATTATAAAAAAAACTTTCAAACTTGATTTCTCAATATTTTCATTTTTACACATTCATGGCATAAGGGCGGCGATATGTATTTACATATATAAAATTTAACTAAAAATCGATGTGTTTTTTTGCACTGAAAGGGCCAATTAAATTGAAATGTGGCCAATTAACCATGTTCTAGAACCGAACGTTTAGTATACAAAATTCGAGTGAGAAAACCAGATTGTTTATGTTAATAAAAAATCCAAAAATTGCCTAATATTTTTTGAAACACAAATCAAACGAAAACCTTTGCTTATTATTTTCTACCTAACAATTCCGCTGAATTTAGCACACCTCCACACTTCATACAGTTCCCCACTATGTTCATGATTGATTTTCAAATTAGATGTACTAAACATAAGCTCTTTAAAATTATCATCGAAATCTTTTCATTTCAATTTACTACTGGGTTATTCAAAATTTATATTGCGCTTTTCATGTAGGATAAAACTTTCTAAAATTTTATTGAGAAAGTTTAATTTTAATTTGGTGTCATATAAAAAGAAGTATATACGTTCATGAATACTTTTACACACATACATACATATGTACAAATACACAAATGTTTATATGGTGCCCTTAACCATTTTATGCACGATGGGAGTCGTTTGGAAATATGTATATACATATGTATGTAGTTATGCTTTTTATGCCAGTGTGAAGAGGAAAATAATTTTTTATTTCCGGTAGACTAGTTATCTGCATGAACAAAGCCGTCATCGATTCGCCAACAGTTAGCGAGTGGCGAAACGAACGAACTCAATGAGGTATAACCAAACTCGCTATCGTCTCTCCGTGCTAGCTAACTTTGTTGTTGCTTTCACATGCAAAATTCTTCTTTAAGCGACCGGAACTCAAACATAGCGAGCGAGAAGTGGCGAATCGATGACGGCTCAAGTTTGTAGTCGTTTAAGAAGTGGAAGACAGTTTCCATATTTAAAGCTTACAATAAAGATTATCTAAACTAAGTAAATTAGACTAGAAGTGTTGCGAGTTTAGTTAGACAGAATTGTACGCATGTTCGCATGTATGCACGTCCGCTGGGGTGAACGACAATCATAAATCCAACACTGAATTTTCGTTTCGTACATGAGAGCCATAACAGACTTCGCAAGCTCTCAAGAGTTTATTTATTGCCTTGCCACGTCGCGACCCTTAAACCCAGTTGCTCTGAGTAGCTAAGGGCCCCTTTTGGAATTACCAGCTGCTAATGAGGAGGAACTGGGGCATCAGATCCAAATTGCCAAGATGAATGTAGGAAACCATTTCGAACACAAACCTCTGGGAAAGAAGTTAGAAATTAAATCCATACAAGCCAAGCTCAGTAAACTTTAGCTACTAGCTTACGTGGGCATCATTGGGGCGATGAGAAGAATACAGACTGCGGATATCGAGGTACTTATAGGCCTACTTCCCTGGCACATAGTTATCAAGAAAAAGTTTAGAATTAATTTTAAATGTTCAGTTGAACTGGTCTTGAAACCAGGGCTTGCGGAATGGTAGCGCCTACTGCTAACCACTACGCAACTGCGGCAACTTGGACTACAAAATTTGTTTCGCCTTCTACATAGATCAATAGAGTACTTATGTTCCATTCATTTTATATTTTCTTAGACAGTTACGCAGTTGTTAAAATTCCGAACTCTGTTACAGGTAATTCGAAAACTGCATTAAATTGTCGCGGATCACCTAGCTTAGGTTGAAGCGGCTGTCTTCATCCAACTTATGAGAAAGGCACACTTAGACCCAGTAGGCCCGGTGCTACCAATTGAGTGCTCGGATTCGAACACGTCCGTTCACCTAGAAGTAGAACCAGTTCGTTTGTGCTCATTTACACACGGCGATTTTTGTTGCCGCAACTCGACGTTTGTAGGAGAGAGTGTGACGAGGAAAGGAGAGGGGCACCGAGTTGCTCGTGCTCGGGCAACACGATTTGTGCTCTCGTTCGTCTGTGTAAATTGAGTTAGCGGTTCACAGCTGACAACAACAATTGCATACACAAAAATCGCCGTGTGTAAATGAAACGAGCAACACTTAAAGGGCATTTGAAAAATCGCGTCGACAAAAGTTTCCGTGTATAAACACAGTCTTTGGTTTAGAAATAGCGAGAATCCATGAATGCCTGCTACACTTAGGTCGACTATGAAAGAGCAGAGAAGTGAGAGCAGAGAAGTGAGAGAGGTAGTGTTCCACTCTCTCGATTTCGTCCACGTTCATGCTTTCCCATTAGGAAGTTGCTCGTAATAATACCCGTCAACAGCCTTGGTAGAGGGCGTTCTCACCGAATGAGTGCATTGAATCTTTCCTTGTCGAGGCTGGGCCAGCTTTGTCGAATCGTCTTACACGTGGATTCTTCCGAACATCTTGTATTTGCCTACTTCACGAAGTGCTTCTTGAGCCATATCTTGCAGGTAGATAGTGGTATGACCGCCGCATGAGAAGAGTTGTAGTCAAACAGGGTGGTTTCCTTAATTATATCTGTGGCCTGGCATGCTCATAATGTGGGTAGTAGACTTTGTAGCTAAATCATTAAGGACTTTCCTACATTCTTTCGCAGTTATTGACGATGTTTCACAGCAAACCATTGACTTAATAGCTGATTGGCTATCGGGGTATATGGTTACAATCAACCAATTCAAAAAGGTACTAGGGCAAAAGAGAAGGTAGGCCCCTGTTGCTTACTTTCGCTACAATTATTACGACTTATCCCTTCTTATTATCTACGTTCTTTGGTATCACAATAGGCCCGATATGATCAACGGCAGCCATTTAGGTTGGCTTATTTAACTTGGATTCACCAATGGTATTTGCACAAAAAAAACTCGATATCATCCTCTAAAATTAAAACTCAACGTTGCTAATCAAACGTTTTGTTGTAAACATTTATGGCTACTATGTGTCATATGCGCCACCCATTGGGACACATAACCAATATGGAAATTTGTGCTGCCATTAGAAGAGTGAGTACTATGTGGTAGCCGCAATCGCACAAGTATCAAATTCATAATTGTTGGCGAACTGCAAGCAGTCCAATAATAATTTGCTGTGGTAAATGCATGTGAATGAGGTAATGCGTTGACAGAGTGGTTAAAGATAAATATATTTCCGCATTTGCATGGGTGAAGAGAGCAATTTTTAAACGAAATATATCATAATAGATATAAAGGAAATTGTTTTTGTGTGGAAAAGAGTTTTTTTCGAATTCCTTGCATTTTTAAGAAGCAACATTTTACTTTAATCGAATTTTTATTTTTATTTTTTCTAGATGGTTTTGCCACTTCGACGATGACAACTATGTCAATGTGCCACGTCTGGTCAAGCTCTTGGACGAGTATAGCCCTTCAGTGGATTGGTATTTGGGCAAGCCAAGCATTTTTTCACCGTTAGAAATACATCTTGAAAGTGTAAGTAGCGCGTGAGATTTAAAAATACAAAAATAAATTTTAATGTAAATATTTTCTGCCACTTTCACAATAGTATCCTACAACGTCACAGAAAAATAAAACCCCCAGCGAAAAGATATCCTTCTGGTTTGCCACTGGCGGTGCTGGTTTTTGTTTGAGTCGAGCGCTTACAATGAAAATGTTGCCAATTGCCGGTGGTGGGAAATTCATTAGTATTGGCCGCAAAATACGCTTCCCGGATGATGTCACCATGGGCTTTATAATTGGTGAGTTTTTGATTGCTTCGCCTTCTATATAGTATTTTCTAAAAATATTTTAATTTTTATTTTTTACATTATTTCAGAACACTTGCTCAAGGTGCCACTGCGCATTGTTGAGAACTTCCATTCGCATTTGGAGCCCATGGAACACATACGTCCAGACACTTTCCCAGATCAAGTGTCCTTCAGTTATGCGCATATGCGAAATCAATGGAATGTCATTAAAGTGGATGGCTTCGATTTGGCAAAGGATCCGAAGCGTTTCTACTCGCTGCACTGCAAACTGTTTCCTTATTTTAGCTTTTGTCCACCAAGATGATAAATTCGCTGTATGTTTTTATTAAACAAAAAAAAAAAAAAATTTGTGTGCGAGCACATTTTCTGTTAAATATTAATATAACTATTATTTAAATTTATAAAGTAAAAAAGTCTCCAGCATGATTGAGCTGGCATAAAAGTTTTGTAACTAAAACTCAAAGCTGTGATGTAGTCTAAGATGTAAAAAAAAGTTTGTAATTGTAGAAAAGATAAAATTAAAAAATAAATAAATCGTGTGCAAAATTAAAAAAAATTATTCACAAAAAAATAACTAAACTAAAATAAGCTTATAAATAAAACTAACTAAAAAATAAATAAAACTTTTTTTTTTACAAAACTCTTGTTATATGAATCACAATATGTTGCAATAGTATATTTTAGTATTTTCTTTAAAAAGAATTTGCTTTAACGCACTACTAGTGCTACTTTTTTATTAATCTATGTATGTAAACAAAAGAACGGTTCTCGATAATGTTGGACCTACCGAATTTTTTATTTTATTTTTTTATTAAATGTGCTTCCCTATATTGTCAAATTTCTTTTAATATATATGTACATAACTATAAGATATCTAATTACTTTCTAGTCTCTTTAAGAGCATAAAACATGTATGGAAGTCCGTAGTACTATACTACTACTATAGCCACAATTTATGTAAATATACTACATATATGTATGTACGAGTATTATACTTTGTATATGAAACTAATAAAATTTAAGTAATTTAGGTCTTCCATTTACATAAACTATTCCACAAAAATAAAAGTATTCTAAATATTTAATAAAACTATTTCATATGTTAAACATAGAAAACAAAGATTGTGTTAATTATATTATATGTATGTATGTAGTACTAATTTAAATATATGAAATAAAATTTTTAATGAAAATAAATATCTTATACAGTTATCGAAACAAATGCCAAAATTTAAATAGGGCACTAAGAAAGTAATTACAATAAAGGTGAAATTCGCAATGTCAGAATCGATAGGTTAATCGATATCTCCGGGGCCCGCAACGTGGTAGTATTCAGTATTAGGTTCCAACATAAATAGATTCAATACCCTATATGAAAAACCAAATCTCCACCATGTTGCGATAGAGGGGTAGCATGCTACCAGTGTTTTAGACGTACGTAAACTCCGAGGGCCAAAATCGACCTTTACCTCGTTATTGTTGCAACCAAGATACGCCCACGCCTCCGTGCAGCAAAAAAATTAAATCAGCAATGCTCAACGTCGAAGAACTGCAATCACAACAGGCGACCAATTTATTCGCCACTCGACAATTAAATCCGCTCTCAGAGAGCACTCTTCAACCAAACGACATATTCGAGTAGTGGAAACACATTTCCTGCTCATTACGTACAGCCTTCGAAAAAGTAGTCAGATTTAAAACACTCCGAAAAACAACTGGTACGATGAGGAATATCACTAGACTGCAGAGAAAATAGATGCCGCCTAAAGGACCACACTGCGATCGGGCGCAACGCGAGCTATTTTTGCCGATATCGGGAGCTAAAGAGGAAAACGAGATGCATTTTTTGTAATTAAGAGAATCTGGCCAAAATACGAAAATGCTGACCGATAAGAAAAACGCACGAAAATTTTACCAGAAAGTTAAGCAAATCACTGAAGGTTTGATGACTAGGGCGGACTCTGGTAAGAACGACCATGGCGACCTTGTGTGTGATCTGTTCTGCCATCTGGGAATTAGATGGGGATGCAAAGCGCGTAGGTCTGATAGTGAATGAAGACAAACGCATATGCTTCTCAGCACCCATATGCTTCTAATGCTGACTACACACGGGTAAGCCGTTGAAGCAACGTGTTGAGACAACCAGTTTTTCTTGTTCAATACACACGAGGCAACCGTAGAGGCAACCTCTGTAGTGTGTGCTCTGTTATGAAATGAACATATGGAAGAAAATGTTGTTTTCTAACAAAACACCATTTCAGTTCAACTATTTTCAATGAACTATGCCAATTAACTCAATATACAACGACACACACGAGGCAACCGAGGCAACCGACACAGTAACCAACGCAAACTATCAAAATATTTTGATTTTCGGGCAGCGGTTGCTGCAACACCAATTTCTATGAGCAAAAATGCTACACACGAGGCAACGGTCGAAGCAACATACCCTGGGAGCCTGGGAATTAACACCAGTAATAGCGACAGACTTGAAATACAACGAAGAATCACTCTTCTCAACAAGTGCCACTTTGCACTGAGTTGGCACTTGAGAAGTTAATCCATCTCTCTTCATATAAAATCACACCATATAAGTCATCCATCATGCCCTCTCTAGAGCATCGACAATGAAAACTTCTGATGAAGTGACTTTTGGAGTTTTCAAAAGATAGATTCTGCGGAACATTTACAGACCTTTGCACGTTGGCGCTGGCCAATACCGCAGACGATTTAGCGATGAGCTGTATGAGCTGTACAACGATATAAACATAGTTAGGACGGCTATATTGGCTTGGTCACGTCGTACAAAAGGGCAAAAATGCTACTATTCTGAAAGTATTCAACGCGGGTTGTAATGCTGGTAGCAGAGAAAGCGGAAAGCCTCCTCTGCGGTAGAAACACAAGGTGGAGAAAGACTTGACTTCACTTCGCTTTTACAGTTGGCGTCATTTGGGTTAGGGGGTTACAGCGCCAATCAAGTAGATGCACATATCATTTACGGCCCAAACTTACACTAACCGTTTGTCGGCTCGTGACCAGAAAATTCCCCCAATTGCCTCTCTTTTTTGCGAACTGACGGCAGTTGTTCATACCGATTGAAGACAGGTCCTTCTGCACTTGGTCCTTACATTTTGTTCGTGGGCGCCCTTCCTCTCGTTGTCCGCCCATGGGGGGCGACTCGACTATGAACATGACGTTAAAAAGCTCGTACAGTTTGTCATTCCACCTTTTCGGTACCCTTCGCCCAAGCGAAAATTATGCACTACAAAGCGAAATATTCCTAATTTTAACGCACCTTTGGAACTTAGTCTGTAAAAAGAACGCACGTACGGGCATTGCCATATACAGTACTGTTTCAACGACCTAAACGTTCGCGAAAAATCTGACTACATTTGTCCTTCGCTTTTCTTCAAGAAAATCTTCGTCATAATGTTTCCATCAATGAAGGTGTGGAAAGTGATATTTTTACTGAACGCTTCGAAGCGTCTATTGCGACGGAGGGCTCCAATGTGGATTGAGGGATCAAAGATGGTTGGGGCGGGTTTTTTAAACTGCAAATTGAAAAGTCTATAGGACTAGTGAACTGGGCCAGTTTTTTTCAGGCAAAAGCTTTTGTCATAAAAGAGGCGTGCTAAGTTATTTTAGTCTTAGAGTTAGCTGTGACCAGTAAAGCTATCTTCTCGGATAGACAGGCTGCGACTAAGGTACTTGGCTATGCAAGTATCTCCTACCAACGACCGACGAGCTAGCCAGAAACAGGTCGGCTTAGGGTTTCTAAGTAGCAGAAGAGGTTATAGGCTATTTTGTCGCTGGGCTATACCAAGCGCCGCTTCTCTTAGCACTGGAAAAAGGTGACCAACGGCAGGTGGAAAGAGCTACAATACCGTGGCCCACCTACTGCGCAAAACGCACTGCACTTCTCATCAAACTGAACAGGAGGGACTCATCTCGACTAACGTACAAAAATTTTGAGATATGTATGTAAAAACGAATGTATGTATACATGTATTTAGTAACGACTTGAATAGCATTCCTCGTCTAACTAACTTAATAACTGATTCTAAATCCAATCAAATATGTTGCCAATTTTCTCTTACCTACCCACTCAATGAATTGCGAACCGCGCTATTGATTTTTGTCTGCCTGACCTTATAGGTCAGTAGCTCAATGCTAAGACTGCTATCTACTTTGCGATTTGGCCAACTTTATTAAGTTATTTAAACAAATTGCTACTCGAACAACAAACATAGCTGTGCTCTTAGTTACAGAGAACACAAATCCAGCGCAATGGCAATACAATTGTCGGGAATTATGGAAACTCAGTCAGTAGAAAAAAAGAAGAAAAAAAAGTAATCGCAAATACAACGAGATGCTAAAATACATACAACAAACAAAAAAGTCTTGCTAACAGCAATTGTTACTCAACTGAACAGATTGTTAACGTGTAAAGCCCTTTGGCTGAATTCCAACAGCGCGAACAGAGCGAATGCGGGTAGTGGCGTTCACAAAAAAGCTCATTCGCTGCACTCCATTTGTGCGCTTACGGGAATGGCACACGTTCGCAAAAATATGTATGTACAATACTTGTTGTGCGTATGTACATATGTGCACTTAGCGTCGATATGTCGACATACTTACATACGTACATATGTATGCACATATACATATACATACTTACTGCTTGCACAAAACAACGAATTGTAGAAAGTTTGTGCAACATACTGCTGCTACCACATGGCAAACAACCGAAAAGTCGCAACACCAACAACAATGCAACAAACAATCGCCAAAGCTGTGTTGCAAATAACACAGCGGCACAAACAACAAACATAGTGGTAGTGCCACACTTGGCGTTGATAGGCTGACACGCGGATTCGACAACTACACTCATTGTCAGTCGCTTGGCTCCCGCCAACTGCAGCTCCTCCAGCGTATTTTGCCAGATCAGCAATGGCAGCGGGAATGTGTAGCAGCAGCAGCAGCCCACGTCTCCTGTTGCAGTGGGGAGCTGGGAAAGGTTGTTGTACCACCGAAATTTGTGCAAAAATCAAAAAGTTTTTGTGTTGCCCCAGTCAACAAAATACATACATATGTATGTATGCCTGCATCGGAGTGTGTGTTACAAAAGCTGTTTTTCTGTGAAGGAGAGGGGGAACGTACGGGTCAAATTTAGCACTGCTATCAGTTGAATTGTTTTGAATGAATATACAAATGTACTTATGTAAGTGCCTAACAACTACTTAGTTTATACATATGTACGTTCAACATTTACCCTGCGAGAAAAGTTTTCGATAATTAGTCTGCATCTACATACGAATACAGTGACTCA